GATTAAATACTAACATAAAGATACACATAAATGGGGGAAATTACGTTAGAAATGGTGATTAAATACTAACATAAAGATACACATAAATGGGGAAAATTACGTTTGGGCTTTAATAATTTCACAATCCATGAAAATGCTCCAGATGTTTAGGCTGACGTCATTTCAATATTGCCAGAATGTACAATTAGAATAAGCCACGTCAATAAAGTGTGAAAAAGAAGAAAAAAAAAAGGCGTCATTAAGTGACTTTGTTGCTATGACCGAAATGTATCACTAATATTTTACTGAAGAAGAACTAGTAGAAAGATTCTATACAAGCTTTATTTTCTTTATCTTAATATACATTTCAATGATCAAACCCTGTTATTTAACATCACTGAGGTTATTTTATACTTTAAAATGTCCAGGGAAGAATCTCCGTACGGGACTAATGTTGTTAAATCCACGATCACAAGCGTACTTGTAGAATCTTGCTAACCTTATGTTAATCTGCATATCTTATGTTGAAGCCACTGTGTACAAAGGCTCACCTGTACTTTATGCTAAACACTATCACCATTAGCGTAGAAATCATTTAATCACAACCGCAATTAAAACACGTGGACTGTTTAAACGTTAGTCGACAATTACATTGGTTACAGTAGTGAAATTCTATAGCTTAAGAGTAATGTGTAACTTAATGTTTCAAAAGTGCAGGCTATATTAGAAGCTTTATAGAAACTGTAAAAGACTATTGATGAAACAGGTTTTGAACAGGACCTTCGAAGTGATACAGGTTTTCCTTAAATATTTTCATCACGTAACGTAGTCAGGGAGGACGTGCAGAACAACGTATCGTACGTACGTCATGTTCAAAGGAATGAATGACCCACGTAAATGACATATTTCATGGTCACACGTGTTTACTGAAGATGTTTTCACTCCTTGTTTGGCCTACTGTGTGTTTGTTTGAGTTGAACCTTAATCAAGTTAACGTCTTACATCCATGTATATAACGTTGATGTCATACGTAGTGCTTTTAAAGTAATGTAAAAATAGTGGCGCGCGCACGTTCTGTGGTAATATAATATACTGGTAATTGAAAATTTGGACCTTCACAAACATCCCCAAGAGAAAGTAAAATAAACCCACCCATTATATTTTAGGAAGTAATTGAATTTCCTCTTAAACTCGTGTAAAGTGCTTGCTTCCACTATTGCAGACATTTCATAAGCTGTTAAAAAGATAACTTTTGACTTTTAAACAGTAACTCTTTAAATCCATTCAAAAATTATAGGGATTTGTAGTTTGACTAAATAATGTTTACAGAATCTCCAGTCTTGTTTGCTTACTTTTTACGATCCCTATTTGCAGGTTAATAAAATCCCTTTTTATCTATCTTGTGCATACAAACAATAGCTAAGTATTATAACCGCTCTTTTGTTTCTTGCAATTATGTATACAAACAACATCTACGTGTTGTAATAAACGGAAGAGCGTTTACGACTGAGACATGCATACAAATACGAAGACGTTCTTCTGCACAGGAAACTGTGAGAAACTGCGAGTTTACAGATAACATTTAAAGTAATGTGTGTGTATATATATATATATATATATATATATATATATATAGTAAGTTAATTATTTCTTCTTTAGTTA